TACATTTCATATGTCTAATGACGTCGTAACGTAACGTTATCGATGATTTTATTACCGACATTCCTGTTGGAATTCCGCAATCACTTCTACGTACCCTTAAGGGCTCTGGGTAGTTTATAAGGAGAAAATAAAGGGGTTATTTTCAGTTTTTTTACGAAGAAATTATAAGGTACATATTTTTGGAGGTTTCAATTATGTTTTCATCATACTTTGAGGAAGTTACATGATTTTTTTCATAATTATAACTCGCATATTAATTGAGTTATAAGGCGCGACGCAACACGTTTTATGTAAAGAAAGTATCCTGCTGGCGTACATACAGCTGTTTCTAAACAGATCTGAAACAGAAAAGCAAACAAGATTCTTATTTTATATGAGCGCGGCTATCGCCGGAACTAAAATTACTGGACTAAACCAAAATTTGACACAAAACGGCGGAGTTGCCAAGAAAGAAATTACCTTTTACGCAAAAATGTGCACAGTTTATATAAATAAGGAAAAAAGCTATGCAGTTATCAGTTTCATTCTAGTTCTCACGATAAAGGGACATGTGTTGAATATGTGATACAAATTTGAAGTCAATTGGTCAGTCCATTCTTGAGATATTATGCACGCTAGCTCACAAAATGCTGTTTCGAGAAAAACAGCTTTGAAGTTTGACTAACTGAAGTTTTTGGATATGTAAATGCAATTCACATATTACTTACGGCTAATCAACTATTCCCATATATCAATCCTTCCGATTCTTCATAAATTTGATTTTGAGTATCAAATGTTTGCTCTCCAAGCAATTCGGGTCTCGATGGATGCTTCCATGTGCTGGTATTCCACTGCCTGCAGGTGTAAGTTGTCGCGAGCTTCAAAAAAACTACTTGCTATTGGCCCGATCACCATGCTCGTCACATTCACCAGTTTTAATATTGATATAAACCCTTCATCGAAAACACAAAATGCTAAATAGGCTGCAATTTCAATCATTTTTGCTCCAAAGCATATGTGCTTTTTTCTTAGTTGTATATTCTCAGCATGCTGCCGTACACTTTTTTGTGGAACAGACTATATATATATATATATATATATATATACACACATATATATGTTCAATCATACATCATATTTAGCGTAGTTTGTATGATAACAAATTCAAAAATCAGAGGTGTCTGATTTCAAGTCCTATCAGGATAAATGATCCTCAAATATGAATTGAATCAATTAAACATTATTAAGTTATTATTTCAACTGAATATATTTCAAATAAAATCGTTGACAGTATCTTAAGAATGGCTTAAGATAATAAAAAAGAAATAATAAGTAATATCTTTTTCCACTGTTTCTAGTCAGATTTCACTGATGTGAAACGGTCGCTGTTATTAACAAACTTTCTCAGCGACTATGAAGTCACTTGAATTCAAATAATTTTCCACTGATAAAAAGTGAATTCTCCATTTTGAATCGTCGAGTCGATATTTCGCTCGAACGGCGAATCCGATGTGCGAGTTCCACCGTGACGAAAAATATATTCGTTTCGATCAATCGAAATATTCGTTCCTATGAAGTCAAAATCCACTCTAAACTTGAGTTTAGAGAAATTCCTCCGGCACTTTTAACAAAAAGCAACGTGATACTCGTTAACGACGGCACACCCGACGCGCCCGACGCCCGACGACACATCGACGACGATTTCAACGACGTCGGCGACCAATTCGAGCGAACGCATTAATTTCTAATGTTGATGTCCCGAAGACGGGGCTAACGGTTGAAGAACGATTAATAAAGATGCGCGGGCACGTGTGTCACCGGATATAAGATGCCCACACGGCCCCCATTGGCATACGCGTACGTCATATGGTCGTGTGTTGTTTGCCCCACACCGACCACAGGCTACACCGACGTGTGTGTGTATCCATCAACAAATTCATGTGTGTGTGAGTGTATGTGTGTGTGTGTGTGTGCCTACGTACGTACATCGTGACGTGAAACATCCTCGCATGAGTGTGCTACGCAGATAGACGGGCTAACGGACGTTGCACATACGATCAAACGAACGGACGAGCGTAAGAACATACATACATACATACGGATGGACAGACGGATGGATCGACACATCAGCACGCGCATGAATATGTAGGATGTCTGGAAAGAGAGAAAAAAAAAAAAGAAAAGGGAAAAGTGGGGGGCGGCAAAAGACCTGGCGCGCATAATAATCGGAGCCACGTCATGCCAATAACATCGCGCCGATCGCCTAATGTCCGATCGATAAACCCGACCCGAGTTTTCTTTACTCCGCGCCGATAACTCGCGCGGAGGGATAGCAACGAAAGAGAGAGAGGGGACATTGATGATTTACGAGTTTGCTCGTCGATGCGAGAAAGAGAAGTGAGCAAGGAGAAGACATCGGACCATTGAGAGAGAAAGAGAGAGGGAGGGGAGGGGGAGCACGTGTGCATGCACGCAGCACACGCGCGAGCGAACGTGCGCGCACACATCACGCATACATCCACGTGTGACATGCACGCGCGTGCGCGCGTACGATACACACGAAGCGGCTTGGAATGGACGCGGGTAGGTAGGTAGGTAGATAGGTAGGTAGGAAGGTAGGTGGATATACACAAGGAGGAGAGTTTACAATTTTCTGCACGACGATCACTCGATCGTTCAAATGCCAATAACGTTGCGGATGCCAATTGCCGATAATTCAAGGTGTACCTGCCCACGATAACGCGCTCGCGCGCGAACGCCGTGCCGGCGCTGACAGATCGTTAGGTACCGGATGATGGGTTCTCAGTTTTAACGCGGAAGAGACACGCGACGGATAAGCGAAAGAGAGACAGACAGAGAGAGAGAGGGAGAGAAGAAGGGAGGGAGGGGAAATACCGGAGCTCACCGTCGTTAAGAATGTATTTTGGCTTTCGCCGAATTAACGAGCAATTTATATATCACGCTTATACACTCTCCCCTTGATACGTTTGCATCAAGCCCGTTTAATTCTGACGCTACAATCCTCATTTTTTAGTGGTTGAGAAAAACGTCCACATCTTAATGGCGAAGAAAAAACGTGCTCTCTCATCAGGATCACAATGCACCACATCACATGTTTGCAGTTTCAATGACCAAATTGCACGAATTACGCTTCGAATTAGTCGACCATCCACCGTATCCTACAGATTTAGCTCCCTGCGGTTTTTTCCTATTTTCAGACTCGGAAAATGGTTGGGTAAGAAGAGATTTTACTTAAATACTGAAGTAATTCACGCAATAAACGGTTATTTTGAGGAGAAAGATAAATTGTATCATATGGAAGACATGAAAAAATTTGAACATCGTTAAACCAAGTGCATTGAGGGAAATCGTATTGAAAAATAAAAATTATATTTTGCTCCATAAAAATGGTATTTTCATATATTTCTTCTAAGGACATATCAAATGACTCTCATAAGCGAAATCTATAATGCTTGCTTTTTAAAAACTTGTCGGCAAAGTTATTATATAAAATCTCTTAATATTTGTATTTTACAGCCCGGTACACAATAACCAATCATTTTTTCTAATTTTGACAATGACATTGTGCAAAATATTAATGGAGTTTTAGAAGTTAACTCGATATCTTGAGTAAATATTTTTTTATAGATAGAACTTCTAGTGGCAAACTAGACGACATTTCTATCAAAACGTCAAATACATCCGAATTCTTACTCGAGAGACACACTAGCATTATCGGCAACAACGACGGCAGCAGCCGATAAACAACACAACGCTCGAATAACAAAGTTGGATGCATAATCTAATGTTTTCTCTCGCCGCCTTCTTCACCTCGTTCGAAAATTCGCAGAGCGGCTCCTGGCGATGCTGGCAATTAAATTAATTCGGTTCGTCCCAGCGTGTAATTAATTTAATGATAACGCGCCGCGCGTCGTGAGCGAGATTTTTCCGACTTTCTTATTCCCTGAGTTGCGGCCAAAGTACTGCTACTCCTGCTGGCAATGACGTCGGTTTCCCGGAGCCCGGAAAAACTTCTTTCCGCGATGTGGCGCGACCCGCGCGAGAAACCGACATTGTTTCCATATAATACATATATCTTCTAGAGATTACAGCGGAAGCGATGATTACGATCTTCGTCGTATTACTTGGGAATGGAAAATCTCTCGGCGGCGAGATATAACCCCGATGCACGCTTCAGAAGATATATATCGTATGTCCTAATAAGCCGCTCGATATCTCTACTTAACGTACGGCAGATTGAATCGCACATTGATTCTGTTACCAACTGTGTCGGGTCTCCACGGACTTTTCCGACCAAGAAGACTTTTCCGCGGACGATGAGAACTTATTCTTCGTATTAAGAGGGAAACAGCTTCTTGGCAATTTATTTATAACAGATAAGAATCGAATCTGGATAAGAAGATAAGAGGATCGGGATTTCCAAGGCAATTGGCGCGTATTAACGAGAAAGTTTCCAAAGATTGCTGGAGTACTTTTTCTCTGTGTGCGACTCCGTCTCGATTTTGAAGAATTAATACGCCAAATGTCGCGAGGATCATCGCTTTGATATTACTGAGTCTCGTTAAATCTGATAAAAGATGTAATTGATTGTACACGGAGAGAGTATTCTAATTTTTTAGTTACTTAATAGTTTTATTATCCATACGATAACTCGTATGAGTCCTTCTTCATCATAAAATAATCAAACATTACTACCAAACATAAATAAAAAAAAAAAAAAACTCCACGGACAATTACAAAGAAAAGGTGGGTCAAAAGTGACTCATTTCCGCGGTTCCAGGAAGTATCCAAATTGCTGTGGTTCTAAGTGTTAATCGCTAATTAGGGTATCGCTAATTAGGTATTAGTATTAACAGAAATCATCACGGCAGTGAAAGCGTTAACGAATGCCCGCGAAATGAGCGCGAATCCTAAACTAGAAGATACATTCGCAATATATACGAATATCTCTTTTACTCCGAAGGAAGGAAGGAAGGAAGCAATATTTCATGCGCACTTACCAAGCATCTTGCTGAGATCGGCATTGTGGAGATCGGGATTCTCGTCGGCCAATTTCTTGCGCTCGACCTTTGCCCAGACCATGAACGCGTTCATCGGACGACGTATTCGCTGCTCCTTGAGGCTCCTCTGAGCTTGGCTGCCGCCGGGATGGCACATCTTCACTCCCGCGGGAATCGGCGAGATGCCCTGCTGATATTCCAGGGACGACCCGGAAGCCAGCCAGGGCATGTCTTCCAGCCGTTGCTGCGCCGCCGGACCGCTCAACATGCCCGGTATCTGCTTTCAGGAAATTGCGTTTCATCAAACGTCTCTGAGCAGATCATTCGCGCTCGCTTATTTACGTATTGCGTCGATGTCGATTATTTACTTCCAAGTCACATTATCACCGGTATGTGTTCTCGATTAATTTCAAGCGCGAATTTTTCCTCATTTTCTCGCACACACGGAGAAGGGAAATCGGCAGTAGAGCAGCAGACAACTCTGAGTCGAAATTTTCATGCCACTTTGGCGCTCTTAACCCGCAAGTAGACGCGTGAATATTTGAAAAATAAAAACAATTGTTGTTTACGAAAGAGACGCGCGGATCTATTAAAAAAAAAAAAACGATATAACCAGCCGAAACCGAGCATCGAACGCGTACCGAGATGATTTGGGTATCGATGGGCATCGAGTTATCATTGCCGTCGATATTGGAGTCAATGTCATAGGCCCGCGATGTGGGAGCTGCGTAAAGCGAAGAATGAAGTGCCAGGAGCCCGGGAGAGCCGCCATAACCGCTCACCGGTGGTGGTGGTGGTGTCACCTCACCCCTGTCGTAATTATCCAGCATCCTGAAAAAAAATTCACGGAGAATATGGATGTATCAGCTTCACTGAATGCGGTAACTGCGCTACCGTATAAATTCAAATGCCCTTTAAATTTGCGCAACATCACGTGTTAGCCTTATAATTCCTTCCTCTTCCTTTTTATAAAGGAACCTGGGACACAACGGAGGTCAACAATTTTCTTTACAGAAATGCTGCATGTAATTAAATGGTTTATTTACTATTAAATGTCTCTTATCGCACGTTGTTATCAGTTATCGTATTATTTTTAGCTGAAAGTTGCTAGAAATTATTTAATGCCGTGTTCTCCGCAATTGCGTTGCAGTTCCTTTCGTACATTTGCACAAGATGAGCAATGATAAAATTCTATCTTTTATTATATAATAAGTTTGACGACCAGTTTGGCGAGCCATTTTGGCGACTTGAAGAATCTTTAAAACTAACTATAGACAATATGCTCCTATTCTCAAAAAAGTCAGGCATAAGAGGGTTGTATTCAATCGCATATCAGCCGCGTTATCACGTCATTTTTAACATATGTCGGTATAAATATATCATTACAATGTTTTGTAAATAATAGGAGAATATATTATTTAAGTTACGAGGACATCGTCAGAGCCGTTGGAATCAGTGCAGCCGTCGCGGTAAGAGTCGAAACGGTTCCTCACTGTAGCGTCGTGAGGGACGACGGAAGTCGTTCGCGTTTCTGGCGAGGCTCGCTGAATGAAAATGCTGCATTTTCGCGCCGCCCGGCAGCATCTCTCGCGAGTCTACACGAAACAATAGCTGTTATGTTGGACACTCGTGCGCGTATTCTCCATACGCGCGCGCATATATTCGTCCGCGGAATATGTCCGCTATATTACTGCATTTACGCAGGAGCATGCGCTTATATCCGCGGAAAAAGACGACTAACATATGCATATTCACGCGAGAATGCACACCGTACACGTGCGCGGGCGGGCGATGGGTATTCCATGCGTCGTGAACGTACGACAGCTGTTTCGTTACTATTATGGCCGGCGCGCGTACAGTCGTATAATGCCTTAAGGACAATTGTGAGAATCCTATTAAGTGGCCTTGAATGGTTCATTCATGTCGATCAACTTATTTCCTAATGAGGTTGACAGATCAATCGCGCGCTCTCCGGCACAGAGCGACCCACGGGATTTCACTCGCCGGTTGTTTTGCTCACCTGATCTCTCCGTCCCGACTGTAACACAGAAGCGAGAAACAGAGTGATAGAGAGAGAGAGAGAGAGGGTGAAGGGGGGGGGGAGTAAAGACAGGTAGATAGAGAGCGAGAGAGAGAGAAACGCCAAAGTCAATTACTATCGTGCAGTCGTGATACGAATTGCGATCTCTCGCGCTCGCCGAAGCGACCGCGGCACGACGCCGAGATCGCGCTCTGGCTTATCGTCTTCTCGCGGAAATCGAACGCCAAGAATCGATCGGAAGTTCTCGCAATCGTACCCGCTCGTGCGCTTATCGCCGCAGAATTGCATGCTTGCGAATATAATTCGTGCTAAATTCTCTCCCTCCATCCCCCTCTTTCACTCTCTCTCTCTCTCTCTCTCTCTCTGTATGCACAAAATTCGAATCATATAATTTGAAAATAAGTGACGAACATGGCGACGTACAAGAGAACGATGCAGAAGGAAAAGAAGAGAGCCGTATGGGAAAATAAATAACAACTACAGGTGGAAATGGAGCAAATCTTGCATAGGAATACGCAAAGTTTGATGAAGGCATAAAAGTAAGATACAGCAGCAGATTAGAAGAAAATGGAACATACCATTCTTGGCATTGTCGGAAGTTAGATTGACTATGGAAACTGAAGATAGCGAAACGAATATACCAAGCTGTAGTATTAGGTTGGAACGAGAATCCGTAGCGTTTTTTTCAATAGGTCGCGTTCGAACACGTGAATTCGTTTCACGCGTCGCTGAAACGTATGACACGTATACGTATTCCGAAAAAGTTACATTTCAACGCGTCTTTCTCTCGCGATTTGCATGTGGTTTGTCGTGAATCTTGAGAAGTGTTTCACATTAAAAGTGAAAATGGAGGAAAATAAAATGCATTTTCGTTTCATTCGATGCCCTTTTGTTTCCTCGATTTTTGATATCAACGTAAGAATCACGCGTCCGAAACATTATTATTACGGCTTTAAATGCAGTCGAAGAAACGTCGAAACGTCGATTTCGCTAACAGTGACTTTCGCGAAGAGATGAGGAGGAAAAAGGCGCTTTCAACACGGCTCGGGCGCAGGACAATAACGAACATCTCGTTACCGACAGGGAGGCTCGTCGGGCTCCGGACGTCAGATACGACGAAAATGAAAAACTTCGGAACTCGCCGTGGCCGGGATTCCTCGGCTTTCGCCTGGCGTCGGCCCGTGCAGCTGTACACCGCCCACACATATGATAGATACGCCACTGCCTTCAGCATTGTTTCTTTAATGATTCATGTGGGGTGATTGCACCGCGAGTGGAGGAAGCGGTCTCCAACTGCGAATGCAATGTGCCCGGCGCGCCGTTTCGAAAATATTAATTTACCAGGAGTCATCGTCTCGGAAGACTGACGCGTTGGATTAAGCGTGTGCGTCTTGAGGGGAAGAAGACCCCGTTCGCAGAGGACTAGAAAATGGCCTGTTTTTGCGAATGTTTTTCTCGAAAACTATTAATACGATTAATTTCGACTCTCAGCACATTGAATACTACGTATTTTATTTGTATGCTCTGATCGAAGAAAAATATAAAAGTTATTAAATATCAAAGCGTCATGACTCCGAGGAAACAATACGTACGGAAAAATATGCTCATGTTTGGCCTTATATTTACATCCGCACAAGTTTGTAAACACCGATTACCGCGAGGAATATCACCAACCCGGTGGTCGAATGGTACCAACATCCTGTCCGGCAAGTAGGAAGGAGGTCCTGGCCGAGGTGATATTTTTCGCAACATAATTAGTTGAGTTATTAGAAGGGGGTATCATGAGGGAATTTGGGATCTATAATCGGTCTATATGTGGAAAAATCAGGAATCGCGTTTCATTTAGCGTAAAAACTCATATATTCGCGATGTAACATTGAAGCTCTCGTTCATATTGCGATTCGCCTCCCACGTATCGTTGTAGAAGTTCGTCGTTCGCTTAAAAAATGTGACAATTTTTACAGAAAATGACATGAGCAAATGTATCAGATAATCTTGCAGCGAACATCTGCCCCTCTTGATGTTTGCATCAGCTGTCGACGCCAGCGGGGCACAAATCACGCTACGGATCAATCCCGTCAGATGAGCATAGATGCTCGGTGCAGCATTTATGGCATTTTTCATGCCTTCCGCACTGTCACAACTTCTTCTGGATAGCTAATCCATAATAATTGGTAAGCTTATTAATTAAATGAACTGTTAGCATCGTGCATATACGCACACGGCTGCGTGAAACACATTACTACGCGTTAGAACCAGTATTGAACAAACCCTCCGGAGCCTTTCTATTGTTTCTACGGTCCGTAGAGCCGCGTTTTTATGACGAAACTTCGAACGGCCCGGTGAGCGCGGATTTAACTCGCTTCGAATAATAGGCTGCAACTTCCGTGATATTCCGAATTTTTCGATGCGGCTTTAGAGATAGATTTTTAAAAATATGTACTTTCATAAAATGCAAATAAAAAAATCAATATTTCTGAGCCGAGAAACGGTCTTCTCGGCGGCGACCGCCGATAGCGATTCTATCCACCTATCGTGCGATTAATTCGCGCGTACACTTGTCACTTATTGCGGTTGCTTTCGATTTCCGAGATTCCTTCTTTTTTTGCGTCGAAGCTCGAACCTCGTGCACGCTTCTTTTCTGCTTTCCTACTCATTTGTCGTATTCGATGAATTTATTAATATTACGATGTGACGATGACGCCGATGATAATGATTGTTATCAGGAATCGAAACTGATATCGAAAATAATGTTTTCATTCCGCTATCTTTCGATATTACACAATTACTGAAAAAAATAATTGTGTAAATAAATATTGTTATTATAAAAATTTCAGTATAATATATTCATCGGTCAATTTTGACTGTAAAATAAAGGTATACTTCCAGTATACAAAATTTATTACGAAATGATTTCGATATTCAGTTCCTGATTGTTATTATAAAAAGTGTAACGCACGACCTGTACGTACTGAGAGAAAGGAATGGTTAATTTCATAACAATTACAGTTATTTTCGAGTGCCAATCATACTTTTTGTCGATCTAACAAGAAAATAGTCGTAGCAATGTGCACATAAGGTCGTTATCATTAACACTATAATAGCATCCAAGTGATCACACTATCACTTTCATCACCGAAACGATTTTCTTAACTATAATTCTTTCACTGCGCGATTATAGTCAGAAATATCGAACACTTCCTTCTCAGTCGCAGTGGCATAGTCGATTATAGCGGGATGTAGCACGAAGATTTTGCACCAATCGGGATAATTTATCCAATATATTGCGCGAAGCGCCGGCGGATTATGTATAGTTTTACCATCCGTGTAATATGTTCGCTGCCTGTAGCGAAGCTTGTAACTGTTTAATCGAACGATATATAATCTTCTGCTAATCTGCGCGATGTGCCTTGACGCCTGTACGTCGATCGGGTTTGCCGGTCGGTCGAAATAGTGAACGAACAGTAGAGTAGAAAGAGCGTTGCAAATAAAAATTAAGCCCCGAACGAAATGAAATTTTGATGCCACTTTTAGCTGCCAGATTTGGCCCCGTGCTTTCTGACCACTGGGACAAGCCTGAACCATTCAAGACCGGGCCATTCGTTAATTACTACCTGGGTTAGTGTTGATTAAGGGCCAGGGTTGATTAAACCTTTATGTTTTTTTTTGAAGAAAGTTTAAACTCTGATTAAGGTTCAATCGACGTTGGTAGAAACGGGCATGAGTCATTTCTCTGGGCGTAGAGCCAAAATTTCTACTCAGGGGATTTCCGACAACCGTGTGACAACGA